TGGCAGAGGGTAGATTTAGGCTAGATATCAGGAGGCGCTACTTCATGGTCAGGGCGGCTAGGATCTGGAACCAACTTCCAAGAGAAGTGGTGCTGGCTCCTACCCTGGGGGTCTTTAAGAGGAGGTTAGATGAACACCTTGCTGGGGTCGTTTGACCCCAGTACTCTTTCCTGCCATGGCAGGGGGTCGGACTAGATGATCTACTCAGGTCCCTTCCGACCCTAGAAACTATGAAACTATTTATCCTGCGTGGTGGTTTTACAAATGTGTTGTGCTGCTAAAATAGTGATGGACTCTAAGCTGTATATAACCTCCTTTTGGGCCCTTAGATATGACACTAACACTGCATTCTTCTATCCGGGATATATCTTGTGTGCCATGGACTTGGAGGTATGTTGGGAGTTCTTACTCTCCCTAATCTCATAGGCAATCTGACCCAAAGCCTTTCCATTTGCCTTAGTGGCTTGGATGAAAGCCAGCAAGCTTTAAGGAACTAAGGGAATGTTTTTGCTGTGTGATAGCTTTGGTGGAGAAGAATACCATGGCCTGTCATTCTTATTATTTTAAAAACTCTTTTGTGTTGGAGCTTAAACTTCCTTAAACAATATTCCTTTTGAAAATCAGGCCTTTTTTTTTTTTTTAAACAGTTTTTTTAAATTATTGCCGTTGTCAAATATTTCAATTTGCACAACAATTTAATTAATTAAAAAAACCCTGAATAAACCATAAAGAATGTTGAAAAGGTTTTTGAAAATGTTTTTGTCTATATTTATTTCATTATGATGTAATATTTTTATTCATCATAAAAATGAAGAAAAATTATTTCCAATTAAAAATATAGAGGTATATTGAAATTAATAATAGGTATAGGTATACTGGAGCACATGTAAAGACACCCACAATTACTTTGTGATTCCTGTTTTTTTTGGTGTAAAGACTAAGATAACAAAAATGAAGATAATTTTTGGATTCCACACAAATACTTTTTTCATTTTCTTTTGTTTGACTTTCCCTTGAAGGCTTTCATCTCTATCACAAGTTGCCCTCGGTAGTACCTGAAAGTTGCCTGCTTATTTTGGTTGGACTCCTACTGGGTGGAATTATTTTTGGAGCAGAGGAAAAGTCCCCACCTGCAATGAAGAGTGATGTTTTCTTTTTGTATCTCCTTCCTCCAATTGTACTTGACGCAGGATATTTTATGCCAACTCGTCTTTTCTTTGAGAACTTTGGCACTATAATCTTGTATGCTGTAGTGGGCATACTCTGGAATGCTATTGGGATTGGGGTTTCCCTCTTTGGAATTTGCCAGATTCAAATATTTGGCTTGACTGATATCACATTGCTGCAGTGTTTGCTCTTTGGAAGCTTAATTTCAGCTGTGGATCCTGTGGCAGTGCTGGCTGTTTTTGAAAATATTCATGTCAATGAACAACTTTACATCCTAGTGTTTGGAGAGTCTCTGTTGAACGATGCTGTAACAGTGGTAAGTTACTTTTACAAACCTTCATTTTATCAAGTACTTGACTGAATACTACTGTGCTATATTTTTTTTTCTGGCTGATTGTCAGAGTTTGCTGAAAACCAAAACTAGGGAGTTGCAGTGTATTTACTGAATTCTCTTTTTAGGCAAGAATTCCTAGATAATGAGTAATGATGGCACATTATTCAATAACTTCACTATCCAAAATCTTCAGTCTTCAGAGTATCTTTGGACTCCTAAGCATAATTTATAAGATTTCCTCCTATGCAGAAATGTGTGTTGTACTCAGCATGGATTCCCTGGCATACCCCAGAAGGTGTACAAATCAAATAAAGACCACAAACTTGGGTTTTTATTAATGTGTATTTGATGTGGGCCCCTGTCCAATAACATATGCACTAAGGTCACCAAGTTATTTACCACAGGCTGCCAACCAGCCATCAGATAGTATTTTTTGATCACTAACTAGCTGAGCCTGGATTCAGCTGGTTACCTGATGATGACACCAGGCAAAGATGGTTTAGCATTTTCCTGAGCTATCCACTACCTTTGTGCAAACCTGTTTTCATCATATCTGAAATATTATCATCATTGTTGCCTAACATAAAATTCTTACCCATGAATTAATTGCCTGCTGTCATGATTCCTGTAATAACCTATTTTGTGATCAGTAATTCAAGTTCTTTATGTTTTAAGGGCCACAGAATTTTAAGAAAGGGCTATAGAGCTTTCCTTCATTGATTTTTGGTTTTTTGGGGTTTTTTGTTTTGTTCATCTCTTAATGCAGAATTGCCCTCAAGGTTTTTAGACTTTCAAGGACATTCTTTAATCTACCTCACTGACTTCATGCTGCTCAATATGGTCCTTCAGTATTGGCCACATTCTCCTTTCCTTCCTATGATTTTCCAATTGGTTTTCCACTTAACACCTGACAATTTACCTGATTCTGCCCCCCAGTCAAGGTACTGAATCATGTCTATTTTTTAAAGCTTGTGTCAGAACCTTCTTTTTCTGGGTAGCTTATGCCTGATCTCTCTCTTTTTCCCTTGGTAGTAGTCTATATTGCAGGTCAAGCGTGGTACTGCAAAAACAAATGTGAAATTATTTGAATTTTAAATTGTTCTTGGGGTCTTTATGCTAATAAGGACACTGAGGTTCTTACACAGGCAAGCATTGCAAGCATCTGCACACTGTTGATGGAATCACAGATGATGGGCAGGCCATGTCACCAGGATGTCAGATGAGCAACTGCCAAAGATCTTTTACAGTGAGCTAAAGGAGGGAAAGTGCTCCCAGGGTGGCCAGAAGAAATGCTTCAAGGACTTCCTTGAGTCATCCTTGATACATTTCAACATTGACCCAAAGTCTTGGGAAGATCTTGCTCATGATTATGCCACCTGGCAAAACCTCATCCATATTGGAGCTACCATCTCTGTCTCAGAAATGCTGAGGCAGAGCAGAAGCACAAACACGTAAATCTTGCAACAGCAGCATATCCGCTATTGATCAAACAACCCAAAGTGGCATCTCTTGCTCAGTGTGCCATAGACAGTTCAAACCACAAATTGGCCTGATCAACTGTTTGCGTTTTCACCAAAACCAAACCAACCAGATGTCACGGTCATCTTTGAATTTGAAGGACTAACAACAAAAACTGATAAGAAGCCTTCTCACTGTATGTCTAGTATTTGTTCTTTGATCAAAGTGATGATGCTTACTCCCAACCAGTATTTTGTATATACAATGGACTCACAGTTCTGTTTCTATAATGCACATCTTTCATGCAGATTTTGTAATTGCTGTTTTGCTTTTAAAGAGATGAGTAAATCACTGATATTTTGTCCTGTTTGGGGCACACTTCCTGGATTCTGTTGGACTCATTTCAGCAGATGTGCTGATCATGCATTCACCTTTATAGCTGTTTGGCCAGGCAGTGGAAGTCGATATTCAGTTCAGTTCCATTTCATAGGTACTTTTGGAAGATTCTCAGCTGATTAGCAGAAAACCTAATAACTACCACAAATTAACATCAGCCCAGTCATGGCTAGTGTTGTAATTCTGCCTTTCAAAAATTGCTTCATTTTTTTTAACTTGAAAAATAATGCAGGTGACTGAATTTTGGTTGTATTAGCAGACTTTGGTAGAACAGAGAGGTATTGTGGATAATTAGCACTATGATCTGTCACTGTTTGGTTGAGCCAATATACTTTCAAGCCTCTTGCCCCCCACAGTCTCCACCATAAAGTAAAACATATTTTTGCTGTCTTCCAGGATACCATTCCCTAACCAAATTACCGGCAAAGGGAGTTGTGAAGGGTAGTCAACCTCATCCAGCCCCTGTAGTTTTGCTCCTAGATGGGACCAAAAATGACTGTTGCCTACTGGCATTTGATAGGGAGGTGGAATGTCAAGAGTCTAAAAAGTGAGTGAGGAGCTCTATAGAATAGTGGCTGAAGATATGTTGTCTGATATAGTCTCTTACCATCTAAATGAACTCCACTAACAACAATGGTTGTTCAGAAGCAAGCAATAATCCATCATATCTTTTAATAAATGGCATAAAATGCCAAATGGTTAATTTGCTGCTCACTCTTTCTACTTGCTGCTGCCTCACTGTCCTCAATGAACGTATTCATGAAAATCAGCCAAGCATTTCCCCACCCACCCAGCCACCCAATAAAACCAGTTAACCAGCTTCTTTTAAAACATAGAATATTGCTTGCCTTCCCACCAGCCCAGACACTACAGGTTTGGTCTTGACAAGAATGCTCTGCTTTCATCACTGTGCAACTAAGGTGCTTCCCAGGAAATTCCAGACAGATTTAAGCCAGTGGTTTTCAACCCTTTTTTATTTGCGGACCCCATTTGGAAATGTTGAATGGAGGTGTCTGATCACCCTTTAAATTGTAAATACAGGTATTCACATACTTTTGATTGATCATAGTCATCTTTTGTAGGCCCCATAGGCATAGTTTGCAGACCCCTGGGGGTCTGCGGACCACAGGTTGATAACCACTAACTTAAGCCATAT